CGAACCTCTGCGGTGGGTGAGTGCTATGCAGAGTCCCAAACCAGGACAAAACAGTTATCCAGTACTCCCAACTGGTTTTCCAGTGGTTCTCTGACCGATGTCAGCTCGTGATGAAATCCTGTAAGCAATCACTCAAATCCCCACAAACCAATATTTGAATAAGAATAAATAAATGTCAATATAAAGTTCAATAGAAACGTGAGGAATAGGTGACCAAGTACATCCAGAAATATGAATGCAATAAGATGGGAAATATGATGAGTGTTGTCAGTAAAATAAAATGTAATAATGTGATAACGGGAACTGAAATAAAACAGAAATGCAACAGTATTTCTCACCGTTTGACTTGGTTGATAGTAATATTCTCCATATTTCTGGTATTGAAGTCATTTCTATTGTATGTGTTAGGAGTAGGTTTGATGAACAAAGAGTCAGTAATCAACCTCTCTCTATCCACCTACTTACATTACATTTTTAGAAATATAACTCCGTCCCACGATACTATGTGGTTTTGCATTAATGCATACACTGCATTTACTGAGTTTTTCTCTGAATTACTCATCTTGGTGACGTCAATCATTCCATATTTAGCTGAATCCGTATGTTCCGATAGTCTGACTACCCGCCGATTTACCGGTCTGACCTATGTAGTTGAACTCACAGTCAGTAAAAGGTCAGTGGGAAGTGGTGACCAGTAGGGTGCAGCAGGTCGGGTGCGAGGACAAATACTCGCCGAAGACATTGGCTAGCGGTTGCGCTATATCGTGAATTGGCAGAAGTTAGAATTCATAGGCCATTGGGTCGGGTCCCAGTGGATTAATAGTATGCGAGCTCGCCTTGTAACCAGAAGGTCCTGGGCTCGAACCCCGGTGGGTGTGTAATAATGAAGAGTCCCAAACCGGGACGAAACGGATGTCCAGTACTCGCAGCTGGTTTTCCAATGGTTCTCTAACCAATGTCACCTCATGATGAAGTCATGTAAGCAATCAGCCAAATCCCTACGAACCAATACTTGAAAGGCTTTTTGTAGATTATATTATTTTATCTAATTGAGTCAGTATCGTCCCTTAGCCTACCGAGTTTACTATTGAGTGAGTTTGTAGGTTTAAATGCTTTTGTAATTCCCGCCTCACTGGGAATCCTATCTAGGTTATATTCCTTCTTGTTTATCCTATCGTTATTAGTTTCACCATTATTTTTATTTTGCTTTGGACGTGTTTTTAATCTTCCTAATGAATTTTATAGGATAGTTAGTTATTTAACACCAATCAGCTATTCTTCTAACTGTTTCCTTTCATCGTTTAGGTTTTTTGTTGTACTACTTAGTGCTATTGCTAGGTATGCTAGATACTTAACTAAGCCTCCCTTCACAGATAACGAATGAGATGAATTAAAGTCTAAATATCTATTAGATTGGGATGACTTTTTATAAACGTTAGTGTATAGTATACCTTCTTCTGTTCGTTTTATTTTACATTCCAACATAACTATAATTCTTCTTGTTCATGTTTTGACTGAAATGCGAATTTTAATTCCTTTTCCTATTAAGTTTATATGTGTGGAGAAATTAGTAACATATTCTACTTTTAATACCATAAAAGTGTCATCCATATTCATATATCTAATCAATTTGTAACTTATGTATATAGACGAAATTGGAAGGTTTTGTGAATATCCTGATATGATTATGAGCAATAAACGGTGCTCAAACCGTCATCAGTATATAATACCTTATAACACTGTGAGACTGTATGAAATAAATTTACTCTATGATGGAATTATACTCTACGACAGTGCCCAAGTGGTTGTCCGGGGTTTGATCCCCGGCCAAAGACGCACTCCTTTACCTCGCTATGCCAGTAATAAGACTGGTAAAAAGGGAAGGTTGAGCATGAGGCTACCAACCCCATCCTGTAAAAATAAACCCCACTGCTAGTAAAACTTCAGGCCTCTAGCTTGAAACATTATGTTCCACTGGGAACGTAAAAGAATAAAAAGCAGTGTCCAAGTTCTATTCTTATATCAAGATGGTTGAAGAGTTGCATGATATATATTTTATTTTATCAACTAATTAATGGCACTTCAGAAGTATCGTGAACACCTCACTGTATGATAGATCCTGAAAGAAATTTACTTATTCCTTATAATAGTGTCATTATCCAAGTTAGTTTAACAGGTTTTTAAATATTACCATTAGCGAAACTATCACACATGTTTGATATTGCCATTTAAAATTCTGTATATAAAAAATTAAAACTTACAATTCTATATACAAAACTCATAGACTTTCAAGCGAAAAACAACAAACCGGTAGAGGAAGCAGTGAATACATTGCTTGAGCACTGTTAGATACCTGTTTCTTCACGTACTGGGACTCCTCATCAGTGCGCACCTACGAACTTATCAGAGATCGAACCTGCGACTTCTCAGGTTACCAAACTAAGCTGGTTGGCCATTCAGCCATTGGAATTCAACTCGTGGTATACTGTTGCCATTACCAATCCACTTCACCTCGGGTATGATGGACCCCAATTTCATGATTTCTCACTGCAACTTCGGGAAATCAATCCAGTAGCCATCGGTGAGGTTGGAAGTGATATTCAGATAATGGGATTTTTGAATAAATTTTATCTGTTAGAATTTCTTCAGGAACCCAAATCAGTAAGTGTGATCACTGAAATCTAACTGACGTGACAAAATGAGACGAAACAACTGTCCATTGCTCCCTGGTTTTTAGTGATCTCTCTAACTGATGTTGGTTGGCAACGTAAATCTAACAATTTAATTTTCAACTTCACACTAAATCGTATAACAGCAAATGAATCGATAAGAAATTTATAGCACTTACATAACTTTGGTTTTTAGTTATATATAAGGAATATATAAGGCTGTCTCAAGTTTCTGGCAGGCATGCCTCATTCACGAAGTTATGAGTCAACGAATGCTAATCCAACACAAAAAATGTTTTATCAAGATAATTTCACCATTTGTTCATTTCTTATAACAGTAACAGAGGGTAGTACATAGTCAAAGATGATGTAGCCACCAAGATGATTGTACACCTAAACCATCAAGTTTTCGCCTACCGTATGCTCATTGGTAACTTCTCTGACTTCAGCACTGAGTGACGTGGGTTCTAATCTCAGAGGGAATATCAATTCCCTCAACATTGTAGATACGTCTTGCTAATGAATGCGAAAAGCACGAAACCAAGGTCGAAGGCTTCCTGACGATTGCCTTCAATCACCTAACATCACTTCATGATGGTGGGTCATCTAAGATGATGGAGACATTTCAAACCTGACTGACAGAATCCAACCTGCATTAAATGAAGGACTAAAAGTATGAAAGTTGTTTGCTACCTAGTGAGCAATCAAACTTCTTGTTTTTGTTTCACTGTCTAACTCGATGAAAAGTGTCCTTAAGATGAAAAAAATATATAAATTCAGTTAGTAGTTAATTCTTAAACCCAACAGTAGACATCACTATTACATTATTATAAGGTTATTAACACTTCTGAGACAGTGAGAAGTCAAATACAATCACTTCCTGTCATATTGTTCTAATTTCAGTAGGGAATCATGAGATTAAGTAATAAAGACAATTTTTAAGATTTAGTCTGCAGCCGTTTGATTTACTTCAATTTTGATCACAGATTCATGTAAGTTGAAGAACCACTGAAAACCAGGGAGTACTGGAGAACTGTTTCATCCTAGTGTGGTGCTTTTCATCAGTACGCAAATATCGTCTCTCAAACCCAGGATCTTACCGTTACAAGACAAGCTCGTAGACCATTCAGCCACCAAAATGCCATCCAATGGCTTATGAATTCCAACTTCTACCAATCCTTAATTTTAGCACAACCACCAGCCTATGTCATTGGCAAGTATTTATTCTCACTATCGACTGAGTGAACTCCACTGGCCAGAACTTCTCACTAGAGCTCCAGGCAATTTAGTCCAGTAGCGAGTCACTGGAGATTAGCAGATTAATTTTCAAGGGTTAGTTTGTTGGGATTTAATTTATTTCAAGTTTAATAACGGATTGATGATGAATGGTCCAAGACCTTACCTTGTAACTAGAAGATCCTGGGTTCAACCCCCGGCGGGAGAGAATTGTTGAAAACTCTTAAATCTGGAAGAAAGAGCTATCCAGTACTCTCTGGTTTTCACTGGCTCTCTAACTTACATCAATCCTTAATTAAACCTTAAAGAAAGATAGTCGTTTTTCCTTCAGAAACTGAGCTACATATTAGCTGCATAATCACTTTAAAAAAATTAAAAAATCAGAAATTTACCTGAACTTCGTTACAAGTAAGCTTAGTACGTGTTTTCAACTTGCAAGTAATTCCTATACGCAGTTGCATTTTATTCTACATGACATTGGAATAATTGTCAAGTGCTACTCAAGCTGAAAAAGGAACTATCTAAACATAAAAAAGGTAAGCTGCAGTTATTCAAATTAGTCCTGTTGTACGTGTTACTGACAGGATTTATAAGTAGTATGCAGATGCAGGGGTAAGTATGTATATAAGTGTCGATTGGCGACGAAATGGATTTATTGAACGATGCTTGAAAAACAACATGAGAAACATGAAAGGAGGGCAAAGATGCGCGATATGGAAGACAGAGTAGAACAATACCGAAGATACATGCAAATTGTAATTCTACGATAAGACAGACGTATTTTGCCTATATAGAGTTGTGCGTCGGTAGCACAGCGGTTAGGACTCTCACCGACCATGCACATGGTGCGGAGTTCGATCACATACCGATGTACACTTGATATCTATGGCCGGCCTGAAAAATTTGGGCTATCGATATCACATGCTGAGAATTCCATACTTGCACTAAGAATACGGTGTGGAATCCAGCTATTATCAAAAATAAAATTAAAAAATAATAAATAATTCCGTTACCACTATTTAATCCACCCCTCTCCCAATAATTAAAGTAATAAAAAAAACTCTATTAACAATTTTTTCTCGAGCAAACATGGCTTTTACTTTATTTTGCTGCGCCGAACAGAATAATAACGACACTTTTAATCATTAAATATTGGGAAAGGAAAACAGTTGATTCTAGATTGCCTGGACGCATGGGCAAAAAACCAATCACACGTACACACAGGAAGGACAAAAGTTGAAGTGTTACAGACATAGAGATAAAGACATAGTGAGAGTGAGACAAGCAACAGAGTCAAATTGACATTGACAAGTGGAATATTATGACAAAATATTTTACTGTTGCAGTTTGAAGCGTTAATAATATATTTTGTTAGTTTTTTTTTAATGAGCACTTCATGTATTGCAGGATTATTCCAGTTGTAAGAACTTTTGTATTGTTTGATAATATGTATATATGGTAGACAGCTTCTTGGTAAGGAATGTCTTTAAAAAGTTGAACACACACTTTTACACAGTTGATTTCACACCAGTAAATGTGTTGAACAATAAGGTTAGACAAAAACGTGACATTTTATTCCATAGGCTAAGTGAATTAATCTGCCGTGAATGAGTTTCAAAGATTTGGTTGCTCCATGTTCCATTGCTGTAAACATGTGTGTATGTATATGTATAATAAACGCCATGAAATGACAAATAGGAAACATGACAAGAAGAACATCAAAACTAAATGTTTGGGTCTCTTAATGCAAGTCGGCCTTCGATCACTCACACACACGCAGTCATTTTTCTCACATCGCATAAAAGAAATTTTAGTTGAAGGAGAGGCAAACTTCCATTTCATCAAAACAACAAGACGATGTTACACATGACGAATGTTAAACTGTATCTCACAGTCTTTACAACACGTAACAGCCTATTCACTCACACAAATGAAGAAATTAAGGAAGAATGATAATATAGGTTAAGAATAATAGTTGAATAACTACAATAAAAAGCTAAAGAAGGAAAGCTAAATAGTACATATTTTTTAAAATTACTACTGAAATGGAATTCACTTGAGTAAGTTGGCCAAAACAAAACGACTGCAAACAACCATATCGATGTACCGAATGCAATAAAAGTCCCAAAAACCTAACGATTCACTATATATATGCAAGTGATAAACAACGTACAATATGACTGAGAACACGATTAGTCCAACAAATGATCGAGTTCTCCTCGTAGAACGGCTAATGCAGCTGATGCTTCACTATCCCAAGGTTTTATACCCTGTGATAGTAATTCTTCAACTTCATCATTGGTGAAGCCAAAATTCAAGTCTAAACTAGCATGAAAACTTGGAGGATTAAAAGCATTTGCTCCACGATTTGATGTTCCACTCAATCCTGTCCCTCCACGATTGATATTACGATGTGAATTTCGATGACCGGCTCCAAATAATGTACTATGACCAAAACTAAGTGCTCTGGAGTTTCGACCATGAAACTGGTATTTCAGTGGTTCTCCTGAATATTTTGAACTTGATGTTCCAGAGTAGTTTGATATCTTGCCACTTAAGGTATTTGAAACTGTGGAATACGTTTGAGAACGCTTTGACTCTCCCCGCCGTCCATTATCATCATATTTATTTAAACCATTTCCCGAACAGGCACTGTTTGTGTTATTTGAATCAACTACTTCAAATGTCCCATCTGATCCACCATCAAATTCTGGTGTTGGTTTCATGCCATTACTTAATGCTTTCCGTGGGATATCTCCGGAAGCTCCAGTTGTCGCTAAAGAATCTATACCTGCTTGTTCACTTACGGCTGATTCTGGTCGTGCATATTCTTCATCTCCAACAGGACCAACATTATCATTACTTGATTCATTAACATCCTCTGTTTGTACATTAGAATTTATTTCACTTGATACCGCTGCACTAATGTGCTCTGAAGATGTTTGTGAAATTGATTTTGTAGGTGAATCTCGATCACAATTGTCCGTTTGTAAATCACCATTTCCACAACTATTCACCTGATTATCAATCTGTTTAGGCATAGAAGTAATTGGCAATGAAACATTAGTGTTACGACTTGATGTATACGTGTGACCAGGTGATGTACATGTAGAAACAGGTACAGGTGGTAGAGCAGCTCTCATATTATAAACTCCAGAGCCAGCATTGAAGCTTAAATTAGCTTTTCGTAACATTTGACGATTAAGTTGTTCAATCTTTCGCATCATTTCTCGTTGTTGTAAACGCCAAGGACTACTTAATGGTGCTAACCATTGCATCATTGCAGCTGCTGTAACAGCTGCAGCTTCCATTTCCTCTTCAACAGTATGCTGATCAGCTAACAAGTTGCGTAAATCAACTCGAAGTTTTGTAGGACTGAATAAACCCAAATCATAACCTAAGATTTTAAAAGATAAAAGAGAATTAGAGTTTCCGTTTGGATACCTCAGAAAATATATATATGTAAAAGACAATCCAGCGAAGAAAATTCTTTTTATCGACGAAATCACCTTCAGAGGCTGTACCAAAAATGCATAGTAGTCCATTATTGAGTAATTGGGGTGATATGATAGATATAATTACTTAGAAGGGTCTTCGAAAATAAAAGTTACAGATTACGTAGTACTTAACGGCACAAAGGAAGAAAGAATTAGAAATTTGATAAGGTCAGAATTCCCAATTCTTGAGCACTTGGTGAACTCAAGCCACGCAGCTCCACCGGAGTCGTCAAGATTATTTACGTGACAAGACCAAATGGTACAAAGGGTGTTAGATTTCGGCGTTTTTATATAGTGGAGGCACTGGCAATTGGCCAATACAACGCCGAACTCTGTATACAGAAAGGGTTTGTTCAGTCTCTAATTCTACCATGTTCTTAACCTCTTTACTATTCATCCCCTGTAATATTTTATTTTTTAAGAATTAATTCAGTATTATCACTCTCACACGTTCATTTTGTACAGTTTCTCACCCTCTTCACACTTGTTAAATGGACACTCAAGTAACTTTATTCTCACTCGATAACAAGTTTAACCTTATAAAATTTTCAACCCTTTCTTCTTTTGTGTCGTTGAACATTGCATAATTTTTAATTTTACTTTTGAAGCCACTTGTGAGTAATTATATCAGTTATGTCACCCTTTGTTACTCAGTAATAGACTACTATATATTTTTGGCAAATATAACTATGACTGTACAGTATCTGTAGAGTGTTTCGTCGATAAGGAAAATATATATAAACATAGAACAATATACTTAATACAACAAATCTCGAGTTGAATTCTGCCCTCAGGGCAAGAGATTCGGACGTCGTTCTGAAAAGCCATCGGTTATAAATTTCATCAATGAAACCTAACCCGAGTTCGAAACATGCGTCTGTTTTCTATGGGCTGCACTTAGTCTTTATATGACTGTAAACCTTAGGTACTTAGATACTACACTAACCAAGCAGATGCCGTCTGTGGTTATCATTGAGGTGATAAATGATTTACGCTAATCTGATGAAAATATTTCGAAATCCACTAGAGTTAAAGCCTTTTGAATTCAAACCATTAGGTCCCATTGCTTTGTCTTGTTGCTTCATCACAGAAATCTTTTGAAGCACTGACACCAACTTAGGTGGGAGTCAGATGGTCGGCAACTGCAAGTACCGTTGCAAACAAATTGAATCACTACCTGAAATTCTCTGCTTAACGTTTTAACTGTTTACTTTAGCGAGGTGTTAGAAACTCCATTATGCTTAAAGGTTAGTTCAATTACCATATTTTCTAAAAAGCCAGTTTAATTGATATACTGAAATATTTGACAGATTTTACGCAGTTCGGAAACCTTTTCCAATTCTTTCGCTTTAGTCACCTATTTTTTTAATTTTTTATTCCTTCACGTTCCCAGTGGAACATAGGGCTTCAAGCTAGAGGCTTGAAGTTTCTGTAGCAGTGTTTATTTTTTACGGGATGGGGTTGCTAGCTTTATTTCTGACTTAGCAAGGTAAAGGAGTGTGTTGGCCGGGGATCGAACCCCGGACCATTTGCCTGGTTGGCGAGCGTCCTAACCGCTGTGCCACTGACGCATAACGTTTTGCCTAGTCTACTGCATTAACAACATTTCACTCATCCTATGTTTCCATCATATTATATTCACATTTCCGAATGTACTTTATTTTCTGGTCATCTATTTCACACTTGTCTATTGAACTTTAGATTGACCTCTATTTATAAGGTATTCATTCACAGATCTAATCAGTTTGTGACTCATAATAATATACACCAATATTATCGCACTTTAGTATATCCACTCACTCTAAAAATTAAACACACAAAAAATGATGGTTATTTTTGCGAGTTGATCAGGGATTGATATCAGTTAGAGGACCATTGAAAACCAGAACTGGAGTACTGGACAGCTGTTTTATCCGAGTTTGGGAATCATCGGCAGTATGCACCCACTGGGGTTCAAACCCAGGACCTTCCGGTTACAAGGCAAGCTCATATATTGTCTATTATAATTCATATATATATATATATACGATTGTACAGCTATGAAAATGAAATCGTCGAACAGAGGAATTTCTTCGCTGAGTTCTTTGTTTTTATCTCTCATTGGGGATTAAAAGTCAAACTGAACGAAGAATATTCTTCTCAATAATTTCTCTTCAAGTTCTTACAATTATAAAATATAATTTTTGTCGTTACAACAATAGCCAGTTATTTGGCGAATACACTTTTTATGTAGAATAACTTATTAGTAATCGGGTGTCGAAATAAATAGTATTTGTGTGACAAACGTGCTAGGCTAAAATCGATTACAAAATATTGTAAAATGGGAGACAGTAGTGGTGATTAGGCATAAGAGATTCGTATAATGTGGGGTAGGAAAAATTGACAAGTCAGTTCAAGGTCATAAAAGGTGTCAGGTGAGTGGCTAGTATACAAAGTGGTATGTATTAAAGAGGAGATAGTAAGACTGCAGTGAGAGGTTCATAATGAAATAACGAATGTGTGAAATGAAACAGATGTGGGCATATAGTGAGGAAAAAGATAATATCACTAATGTTAAGTCCGGATAGTATAATAGAAATTACAATTAGGAATTAGAACGCCATAATAAACAGGGGGATGGGTAAAACTCAAATAAAGTAGCATAATAACTAAGAAAATTGACATTGTGCAATTGGGGGTTAGAAATGTAAAAATAACAAAATATACAGGATGTTCGGATAAAAAACTAGTGTGATGAATAATTGTTTATGCAATCAGGGATTAAATATGTAGAAGTAGTAAAATGACAAAATAAACAGGAAGTGTGGATATGAAAATATGGTAGTGTAGACAGGGATTAAGAAAACTTAAAATAACATGAATAAACAGGAAGTTTAGATAAGAAAGGCGATGGGATGGTCATTATTAAAAAAAAATTTTACCTGTTTATGATGGCCATGGCAGGGACAGGGGTTGAACGTATATAAAGTATGTATATATATATAATATATATATATAGTATAAATAGAAAATTTGATAGTATTGAGGGAATGTTTGCATGAAGGGTATAAATTATGACGAATAATAATAACTAATAATAAACAAAGAAACAAAAACCAAGAGAGTTAAGGGGAAAAAGCACTCATGGTGAGAAGAGGAATGATCAATCCAAGTTTGGCAACGGTAGGAACAGCGTCTGAACGTGTTCTTTTTGGCTACCAAGTTCCGGTCTAGTCGATCTTATTGAAATAGCTTCAGCTATGTGTAGGAGACGTAAGCAAGCTATATGTGATAATGACTTCAGAATTCGGTATATAACCCTGAAAGCTGGGTTGGCGTCGATGCGATGTCCAGTATCGACCAAGTGTGACAGGATCGACCTTTTCATGCACTTAATTTCCCCCTTGCTGAACCAAGCGGGTAAATGTTCTCGAACCCGTAGATGAACCTGCCTAGTCGTGCGCATTATATAACTTGAATCACAGGAACAGTTAAAATGGTATATGCATGAAGAAGAGCTAAGGTTAGGCAAGGCACCATTGAGTTGCTCGGTGAACATTGGATGGCTACTGAAGAATAGGAACAGAAGTGCAGATTAGAAAGTTTTCTTTATCGCCCTGGTTAAATGTTACAATGGAATCTCCGCAGGAGTATCTCCTCTGGCAGTTCAGGTTTACGACTATTATAACCTATCTTTGCTTTAATGAACTTTGGGTATCCGTTCTCGCTTAGAATGTCTCGGATGACCTGGAGTTCTCTCTTTCTTCGGAACAAATAAACCTAGCTCTAAATGCTAACCACCTGATCAGATTACGTTTGTATTTCATCGGTACGAATCTGGGCGAGCATTCTACCAGTGTGCCACCGACGCACCTCAGCTGAGTATAGCCAAATGAAATGATTGAGTTTAAGTACAGAACAATTTTAACATACTTGTACATGTTATATAATGTCAGTTAAAGACAAGAGACTCCAAACTTAATAAACAGCGCTCAGAAATTACACTTTTATAGCAGCTTATACCCAGAAAGTTCAAGTTCAAACAAGAAATGTTGCCATACAGTGGCATAAGAGTTGCGTAATAAAGACATGAGGTGAGTAAGATGATGAGTAACTAATAAATTGATTAACAATGTGATGAGTTCAACTCAGATCATGAAGACAAGAGGTAAGATAGGCAAACCTATATAGAAGGAAGGAGAGATTAAAACCAAAGATTACGTGATCAAATGAAAGAGATAGTAAAGACATGCAGTTACCGGAGCAAGAAAAAACTGATAATTGCTTTTTTCTGAACAAATAAATCGGGTTTCAAGTGTTTGATAGAGGTTGCTTTGGCAAACCTGAGGAGAAAAAGACTATTTTGTCTATTGGCAATTTCAAAAGGATTTCATAGAGTCCACACCTTATGAACACATATCGACGAGATGCCTGACAATCACACTATTGAAAGCGTTTGTTCCATTGAGACGTAGGTTTTTTGGTACATGTTCAGAAAACGAAAGTTTGCCTTACTTTCTATTCTCCCAATGTAACCACTACCACAGGTACATGGAAATTTGTATACACAGTTAGAGTTAACATGGGAAGGGTATCTGATGACCCTTGATTGTATCAAAGAGCATGTTGTCAACTGACATTACGTAAAATCTTCATGTTAAAATTGTTCTGTACATAACGGATGAGAAGCCGACGAAATAAATGATGGAACCATCTTATTCTGCACAAAGTGTTATTCCTGCTTTATTCAAATTCATAAAGGAGAATAAATGCATAATCAACAATTACATAGAAATAACACCCCGTGAAATTTGAAAAATACGCCTCAAATAAAACTACATTCAATATTCGAATCTTAATCATACTTAATATTAAAACAACATTTAAAATTACCTGCCATCAATCCTGCTACACTATCCATCCAATCAAGATGAATTTTTTTCTCCCATCGTTGAACTTTATTCCCTTTAGCTTTATCAGCCATATGTTGAAATAGTGACCAAGGTTTTTCAAATATTAGAATGCATGATTTACACCAATACATTTGTCCAGGCTCTAAAGCAGCTTTTGTTTTCACATATTTTACATGATCCCCTTCTTTGTCCAAAAAACACTCGAGATAATGATCTTTCAACAGAGTACAATAACTTTCATTACCTCGACGTTCAAGAACTCTTCTACATGAACCTAATGAAAAGTTTGTATTGTAAAGAAGGGTTCACTTTTTTATTTTTATTTAGAGTAAGACATTTCAAAATTTAAACAGAAAAAAAACAAAACAAAAGAAAAAGTTGCAACAGGGTAAATTGTCTCTTTCTTTTTATTTCCTTCACGTTCCCCAGGGGAACATAGGGCTTCAAGCTAGTGGCTTGAACCTTCTGTAGCAGTGATTATTTTACAGGATGGGATTGCTAGCCTCATGCCTAACCTTTCCTCTTCACCGGAGTTATTTCTGGCTTAGCGAGGTAAAGGAGTGCGTCGGCCGGGGATCCAACCCCGGACCATGTGCATCGTCGGCGAGTGTCCTAACCACTATGCCACTGACGCAACTCAAATCTGTTACTGTAGCAACTATTCAGATTCGATGGTTCTGAAGAGCATTTTTCGCCTTATCTCATACTACGACGATAGTCTACCATGAAATTTCACACTAAACCTACTGATATTACTTTTATGTTTCTAGCTGACATAAGTTTCTGGCCATTGTCAGTATTGCACACATAGTATTCATTAGTTTGTGTTGATCCCGTTTGTTAGAGACCCCTTATTTTTACCTTGAATGAAGATCTTTCAACAAATAACGGATAAGCATGACATGACATAAAACTATTAAGTTTCTGTAGCGATTGAATTGAATACGGAAGCAAGACAAGGCTGCCTCTAATCACCGATGATATTTCTAATTGTGAAGGACTGGATTATGCGTCAGACTGTGGGAGAGCTAGAAGATAGGAATACATTGGACCAATAAGAATACCCTGGAAGATCTGGATTTCTGATGTCACAGAAACTCGAAGACTTACAGACGAAAACCAACAAGTAGGCAAAAGAAGCAGCCAGCGAAGACAGGACTTCAAGTGAGCATACAGAAGATGCAGGTGATTAAACCAACCAAACACAATGACGACAATAAGCCCCAATCACTATTAACGGAATAAATTTGAAAGAGGTCATTTTCTTCACTTATCTAGGAAGTATCATTTCAACTACGGGCGACAGCACAGATGAGGATATCAAAACTAGAATTGGAAAGGCAAGTCAGACCATCATCACTCTGAAATCAGTTTGAAAGTCGTCTGCACTCAGTATAAGGAAAGGAGTTCAGATTTTTAGCACCAATGTTAAGTCGCTCATTTCTTCTGTATAGGTAAGAAACTTGATGTGTCACAGAAAGCATTTCTATTAAGGTGCAGACTTTTATCAACAGCTGCCTTCAATCTATACTGAAGATCAAATGGCACAGAGAATCAGTAACACCAAGCTCTGAGATCGGATCAATCAAGAACCTATTACTCAATAAATATGCTGAAGAAAGTGGAGATGAACCGCATATACGCTGAGCAGACCGTTGAGTTAAATTGTGATTTTTTTTTCCTTCACGTTCCCCAGTGGAACATAGGGCTTCAAGCTAGTGGCTTGAAGTTTCTGTAGCACTGTTTACTTTACAGGATGGGGTTGCTAGCCTCATGCCCAACCTTTCCTCTTCACCAGCATTATTTCTGGTTTAGCGAGGTAAAGGAGTGCGTCGGCCGAGGATCGAACCGGGGACCATGTGCATGGTCGGAGAGCGTACAAACCACTATGCCACCAACTCTCAAAGACCTAGGTTTCGTGCTAGTTGGCACTCTTCAGTAAGGCGTATCTGCAACCATGTAGGAACTTATGTCCCTTCTGAGATTGTGTTCCAGGCCCTCAAATGAAAGGTGAATAGGAAACGACGAGTTGTACGTTAGTCTGAGGATGACATGGAGGAGATTGTGCGAGAAGGAGATGAGAAACTATGAACAATCATGGGATCAGCTGAAGAGGACTGCAGAGAATAGGATAAAGTGAAGATGTGCTGTTGAAGCCCTATTTTCCACTCGGAACCAAAGGAAATAATAATAATAATAAACTATGAAATCCAAAAACAAAAAAATCAGCTTCCTTTTATGACTTCGTCAAAGAAAACAAACTTATCAAACGAAAACAAAGAAATGAATGAACTAGAACAAAACACAATATTATAAATACCACAATAGATTTCAATGTCATTTGACATTCCACTTGAACGGCCAGACACTGTAGTTATTGCATAATTTTGACAACCATCTCTTAAACCACTATTATTTGATGAATCATTTAAAACAAAATCTTTAGATTTTGTTTGGACAGTATCATAATAGACAGAATTAGCTGTCGATTTAGCATAATTGGTATCATTTGTATTATTTATTATCATATTCCCTACAGTAGATGCAACATTGAGATTGTCTACTTCTGTTGTGTTATTATTACTGTCCATTGTTGATGATACAATCTGTGCTGACTGATCATCATTCTCAGTCATGCTTTTATCATTTTTATAATTAGCAGCTTCTGAAACATTATCTGTTATTTCTTGTTCAACACTATTGACAATTGGTTGAGTCATATTGTTATTATTTGTTCCAGATAATTCACTTGGATCAACATTCTCTTTGAGTACCTAATATTTACAATATTGATAAAGTTACTAAGAATGAGTTATCAGAATCAATTTGAAAATTAACGCACACCAAGATGTTAAAATACTTATAATGAATTTAAACAAATGCGCTTACATGTAAAGCTCTGAGGATTTCATTTGATAAACGGAAATTCTAAAACCTCGGCTAGAAAAATAATCCATCACTATACTGCATAAAATTTATCTTCTTCAGCCTTTGTCTAATCTATTAGAATATGACCTCCAATAGTGTTTTCTACTCTCAAGACTAATTAAACCTCTACCACCTCCTTATTCACAAGTTTTTACTGCATTTGAGGAAAGTATAAGCATCGATAACAATGTATTCTAATAAATGAGATGACAGTGCCTGTGGAAGCTGAAATTATGAAGAATACTGCAGCTGCAATAGAAAGTGAGACACTGTGGAGAATACCTTAAACATATTTCAACCGCATTATTCCCTTCCGGTACTCACAAATGTTGTGAATAGACATATACGAACCATGATAAAGAAGAGTGTTGGGCTATTTCTGGAGATATTTGATAACAGTCGCCTAGGTACTGAGTTGACAGATAGAAGTTTAGCATAAATCCCTATACTATGATATATCGGAGTCATCAATCTCCTATGTCTTTAAGAAACAAGAAAACTCCTGTAACGCTCACAGAAGAAATTCTTGATCGCAGAAAATTCCTATTGCACCAGGATTTTCTTACACCTCATCATGACTAGATGTATACTTCTACTGAAACTCTGGAATCTCAATACGGTGCCTGATACCACTTGCAGTCTTTGCTTCCTGTAATTAAAAGCAATACTTTTCGATTAATTGGAATCCACACATACTTTTCCACACTGAAGGTTCTGTATTAAAATGGTTGATTTATAACCCTTCTTAAATTACATCATGAGAAATCCTCTTTAAGAATGCTAATTCTGTTCATTTTTGTATGGCTTTGAGTATGTTCACTTAAGAGGTATCTAGTTGTTTTTATTTAGCTTTACACAGACTAACGTTTTAGAAGAAACTGTAGCTCAATTTTGTCACAATTGATAGTGGTCATGTAATCGAGAAAACGAGAGCCTTCAAAGTGATTCATCGTATCCCATCAAATCTTTCCAACAGACTTCGTATTCGTTTACTACACACAGCTGAGGCGATAGGCATTCGAACTATTAAACCTAAACTATGTATTCAAAAAAAGTTCGTACAACCATTATCCCTCCCTTGGCCTATTAAGACATAACCAACTAATCACTTCTACACCACCCTTTGTTTATATTTTCAACCCCTTTGTTATCATCCCTTAATCTTATCTTCATTATAAACGTGTCTCATTTCCTTCCCTTACAATCTAACATTACTTAATCGGTTCATTTGTTTTTACTAGCCTTTATCGACTACTTCCACCTGAACAGTTGTTTGTTTAATCATGCTGTTTTTCATTATTCGTGTTGTCACAGGTTGCCTCACTTTTTCATCCTCATTATTGATAAGACCATTTTTATTATTACTATTATTATTATTATTATTATCATTACTACTATTATGACTAATTGCACAGTTTATATTCACCATCTTATTATCCTATAGACAAAACACCATGATTGGTTTATATTTGAATTTTTATTCGTAAACTTATATATATATTAGAGTTAAGCCTGATGAGATCTAATTGAAAACAATATTGTTCGCTTAGATGTGTTGTTCTAAATTTTACTATGGGAATATTTAATATATTGAAACTGTTATTGCCTGATAAATAAAACTAATTAGTTATAGTCTTCAATTAATCAGCTATTATTGTGTCCATGGATCAAAAAATACACTTCTGCACCCTTTTTCATTAACTTTCAACTAAATGTTGTGTATTTGTCAAAGGTAGCAAAGAAGTTATAATATAGGGGACTGGTTTTTACTTCAAGTCAGACAGCAGTGTGACAGGTGATTTACTGTCAAGTTACTATTTTACTTTACTAGATCGTCGACAGAGAGAAACTATTAGGTAATAATTTCTGTAAATTATACAAACACTGTTCGGAATAAAGCGATTATTAATATTTATTTAGACTTGTTGACCGACTGACTGCTTTCCAGCATAGAAGTGCAAAACTTCAAGTTGTCACACTCCACGTAGCACATAAAAGTAGAGAGAAGAGAGAAAAAAAGACATTCAAAGGGGAACTATGATAAGCAGAAACGTGAGAGAAAAGAAAACACTAGCAACATAGAAAAATATGATGGTTTAATGGACATGGGATGGTAAAATCCAATGGCTGGAGACAATTGGTGATATGGCTCAAAATCGTGCTCATTGGCACAGATACCTTCTCTCTTTGTGACCTACCATATCTAATAAAACTCTACTGCTCTACCATATTACTATGGTTTTTCCCTCACACTTCTATCTATCATCTCTCTTTACCCTCTTCTCTTGCTTTGTGTGCTAAATGGAGGGATAGTGGCAACTCAAACTGCTGCAAATTTTTACAAAGTTCTGCGTTGAAACCCGTCAGTCAGGATATGAGAGATCAAGATGAATGCGTTTGTGCCACCGAGAGGCATTTTGAGTCACATCACCACCAACAGTCTCCAGTCACTAGTTTTCTAAGTCTCGAGGATCCCAACAAGACAGTGTACGCCACCCTAGATGGCTACAAATACTGTAAAAGACTATCTAAACTGATGTCTGGTTTCGATTTGACGCCCATTAGGTGTTTTCCAACCAAATCTTGTGTCATTCCATAATGGATAAGATTTTATTTTGATAAATCACACAGTGTAGTACAGTTATATTAACTGTTAATATAACTGTACTACACTGTGTGATTTATCAAAATAAAATCTTATCCATTATGGAATTATACTCTACCACAGTGCCCAAGTTTTATACTTATATCAAATCTTGTGTCAGTTAACATTGCTCGGATAGAGGAAGGAGATGACTTGGTGTGCGTAACACGTGTCCCAGTTATCCTTAGTCAATGTAGCTGCACAAACTAATCGACTGACTTGACATTCTTTTCTGATACTATGACCCTAACCTCCACATTATACCATTTGACATGAGAGGTAGAACGCAGACACCTATGGTCAAAGACTAGTTAACTTGTCTTGGTTTGCTTTTACCAGGCAGAAATTATCAACTTCTTTTGCCATCTAGTTTTCCAGAATAGATATTTCGACAGTGTGGTCCATTGCAACTTGGTATTATCTGACAGTTTTGCAATATTTGGTCTCCAGAGCTAATTGAATATGTAAAAAAAAAACATCTTAATCACATTCCGTTTGGAGAAAGAAAAGTAGTCTACACCTCCCTACGTGGATTTAATTGACAGATGAGACCATGTTTTGGTTTAACCACACTAGCTCTTTCCCATCCTGATCCTATGTCAGCTAAAATCGACCACCGTGGGAGGCGACTGCAAGGCATGTGCCACACATGTTTAAACCACCTTAGTTGATTCACCTTCACAATCTCATCAATTGACTTTCCTTCTTCACTTACCTAAGCTTAATATCACCCGCCTTATTATACTACCTCACATAGGAGACAAAACGCAGACACTTATAGTCAAAGACAACTAACCTTTTCAAATCACCACTCACAATGGATATATGAAATGCACATACAAACATCTAAGTATTAGTTCGTAAGCCAAAAATTAGTTCATTTTGTGTGAATGAATTAAATCTAACTTCAAAATTTATAGGGGCTTGTATAATCTAGGTTCGAGTGGTTGCTATGTGACTTAAGATGATTTGAGGGGTTTCCTAAGTGCATGACACACAAAAAAATGTCACAAAACTAAATTCATTATCATAGTAAACACTCTAAACCTGGATTATACAAGCCCATATAAATTTTGAAATTGGATTTCATTCATTCACAAAAAATGAATTGATTTATGGCTTACAAACTATCATTTCGACGTTTATATGAATTCCAAGGCTTAGTTGAAGCATTAAAATGCTTTTCAGATTGCAGCTCATTGAAGCGTACTTCACTCCCCTAGGACTAGGATAAACCAATGAATTACAAAAGCTGTATCCAGCTTTAAGCATACTAAAATATTTGACATAATTCTATTACGAAGCGTTTTGAAATTAATGCATCTCAGTGACCTACAGCACATTAATGCACCAACATAAGCTTCTTATGGTTCGCCATTTTGAGGTTATTTCGAACCACTTGTATGAGATACAGGTGGGAAATGTTATTTCATGGCAATGTGAATCGAAACTAAAATAAGAAAGGAAGATGAAACGTACCAATATGAAGATCATATATATATAGTCAGTCCTTCCAGTGTCTGATGAAAACTGTGCTAGGTCAATAGAATAACAATCAGTACATGCATTATTTCCGCAGAATGATATTGGTAAATCGATTTGATTGACTGCAAAACGGCATAGAACTTTGCATAAAAAGTAAAGCACTTAAAGGTGCTACACTCCATGCACCACACAAAGGTAGAGAACAGAGAAAAAAGAAATTCAGAAAAAACTATAGTGACAAAAGCGCAAGAAAAAGGATAGTGACGTTGAGACGTCAGACAGTTTAGGCCTCTCCACGTAGTTGGCTAAAACTAATTGTCACAGACTTCATGGGTTGACTGTAGATTTTGATATGAACAGCCCTAACTCTTCTCCAAATCAGCTAGCATAGTTCAGAAAGTAAAGCAGTGGCTAGGCATGTGCAATACGTGTCCTATCCATCTGATTATATGCAGCTTCAAAATCTCGTCGATTAAATTACCAACCTTACCTTGCACTATACGTTTAACTTGAATATCGCTCATCATTATTATACTACTACGCTGACTGACTACTCTCAACTTACAAATATGCAGGCAAGTGCAGCAGTTCAAGCTGCAACACTCCACGTTGCACACAAAGGAAGACAAAAGCGGAAAAAGAGATTCGAGAGGACAATAATAGGGAGAAATATGAGGTAAAAAGAATAGCAACATGGAAAAACAATAGGGTTGTATTGGATATGACAGGTCACAGACAGTGAGGTTTTGAACCATATCACCTATTGTCACCAGCCATCAGTTCTTGACCTCCCAAGGACTCCAACCACGCAGTCTACACCCACCCACGTGGCTCAGGTTAATTGTTAAAGTTTTCACAGACTGATGACACGTTTTCGTTTGATCCCCATTATCTCTTTTCCAAGCTGTCCCAATGTCAGCTAACATTGCCTGTCGAGGAAGGCGATGGCTAGGCATGCGTAACATATTTCCTAACCATCTCCGTCGATGTAGCTTCACAGTCTCGTTTATTGATTTCCCCTTCTTACCTAACGCTTCACGCCTAAACTCAATATACTTCGCCCTATAATGAAAGTAAGTAATTCGTACAATTTTACTGCGTGACACTTTTAATTTTGCCCCTGTGTAGAGAGAAAAAACGTAACAATTTCTCTGGAGGCAAAGTTGAACTACCACAGTAAAGGCCTGTCAAATGCTGACCTTCAAGGACCAGTCAGACTTCGAGAACGCTGTAGATCATTTAAAATCAAACCATGCCTGTATTTATGAATGTGATGATGGTATATAAAGTATTGTACATATTTCTAGGGTATTTTTTACTGTAAATCTCTACTTTTGGATAGGTTTAGGGTTTCGTAGGATTACCGATAAAAGTTGGCCAAAGGACAGTATCAGGACTTCAGTGTATTATGATCTACAACCACCTGGATGAATACATTTGTGGCACATGGCATGATTTCTCTATGGGTTATCCTTGGAGTAACTGGTAGACATTCTTAAAACATAAGAGACAACTGTCCGGTGTGATATGTATGAAATGTTTCTTAATCCCTTTTTAACGATTATATTACCTTTTGCATAGGAATTCTGACTAGGTCACAGTGATTTTAGTAATGGCAGTTTAAATCCTCTCTAAATGAAGTTTAATATTTATCTAGCAGCTGTGCGTCGGTGGCACAGTGGTTAGGACTCTCGCCGACCATGCACATGGTCCGAGGTTCGAGCCCCTGCCGGCGCACACCCGATATCTATGGTCGGCCTGCAAAAATTTGGGCTACTGATATCCATGCTGAAAATGCCATGCTTGTACTGAAAATACGGTGTGGCATCAAGCTGTAACCAAAATAAATAAATAAATAAAGATAGGTAGCCTTTCCATGACTTCACTTTCAATGACTATTTCTCATACTCTAAGTCAATAACACCGTTCCGTGGTACCAAATTAGTCCATTACTCGCTAAATTCAGTTGGCGTCGATTCCATTAGTATGTTTAAAATGAAATCAAACAAAAATGGCGACAATGGGTATCCCTGACGGATATCACTAGCTGTTATCACCATATCTCCATAAGTTCTTACACGGTTGCATGAGTTGGATTAAGGTGTCTTGACTAATGCTATATACTTTCTTGACACTCCACAACTGGAAATTGTCAAAGTACCTCTCAGTTGATGGAACTGGATTCCGCCTTCAGGTCAAGAAATATGCTGAGTATTGGACAGAGGCATTTGCGCCTACTTTCCAAAATCTGTCTAAGGGTGAAGGTACGATCAAAACATCCTGTTCATGAACTAAAGCTTGTCTGGTTTTCTAATCGTTTTTCCCCCGAGCACCACTTAGTTTACGGATGATTATTGAGTCTAGGACTTCACATACTATATTAGTCAAGCTGATCTGACTAGGATTATTACAGGAAGACCAGTTTCTTTTCTCGCACACAAGGATAATCAGTGATTTACAGCAGGCTAGTTGAATCATCTCTGATTTCCAGACATTACCTAATAACTTAGTTAGACCAGGAAGTAGTCCCTCACCACTGTCCTTAAACACCTCTAGATTCATTGCATCAGGTCCTGGTGTTCTGCCTCGTTTCAAATGACAGACAGCTTTCGCAAACTTTATTTAGAGCTTGAGGATTAATGCAGACATACCATTCAGGTAGGTGCTGGATGCTGGACAAATCTAATGTAGCCCGAAAATGCTGTACCATATGACTACGAAATAAGATCTCTAGGGAAGATAAAAACGCACCTGTTGTCAAGATCATATATAGTCAGCCCTTTCATTCTATAATGAAAACCACATATAAATCCTGTTAATAATCATTTTCAATGCTTGCAGAGTGATATTGACGAAGCAAAAAATAATATTATTTTTATGCGTCCCAGAAACTTGGAGCACAGTATTTCCTCACCACCTTTTATTCAGTGTATGAATGCCATAAACGTATAACTACTTCTCAGAGAGAAATCGCTGAGTTCAAAGTAAAAAAATCTGTAGAAGCAGCAAATCCATGAATGGTCAGTAACAAAGATATGAATGCACACATCTGATTTGACATTACTGAAAACCTAAACAAACACTCACTCTATTTACTTTATCATCGGTCTATTCCACAAATGTTGGAACCTGTTTGCCACACATGAGACTCCTGAGACCAGGAAATTATATAACACTACTAGGAATAAAGCTATTACAGAAATCCGCCAATCAAGGATGAAGTTCGAAGCACATCTAGCTCAAAATGCAAAGGCAGAACCTAAGAAAATTTTCTCATGAATGAACTTCAGGAATAAAACATCCAATGGTGTCCCAAACCTAAAAATATTGGCAATGACAGTCGAAGAAGATCAGGAAGAAGCAGAAGCAATGGCAGACTATTTCTTTACGCAGGATTCATCACTCTCTATAGGATCAGCCCTGCCTGCATTAGAGGAACGCGGGATAGATTCTGTTAACATCGACCAAGACATTGTGCTCAGTAGCCTAATGAAACTAGATGCAGGGAAATCAATGGATCCTGATAATTTTCATCCAAGGCTTCTCGAGTAACTATCATCTCACATAGAGTGTTACCGCGTGACTGGAAAGACGCCATAGTAACCCCCATCCACAAAGGAGGATCAAGACAAACCCCTCGAACTACAGGCCTATTAGTCTCACCAGCACTTTAATCAATACACTGGAGAATCATCAATAAAAGTATCATGGCATATCTATAAAACAACGAAATGTTATCCAGAGCACAGCACGAATTCCAAAGAAACCTCTGATGCCTGTCAAATCTCCTCATTGTAAGAGAAAGCTGGGTCAAATCAAGGGACAAAAGAAGACCCGTTGACGTCGTCTTCACAGACTTCAACAAAGCCTTCGATAAAGTTCTTCACAAAAGACTACTCCCACCAGTTCAGACTCATTTGGATTTAGGTGTCATAGTTAGCCACGATTTAAAATCTGCAGCACATTGTCCCGCGGCGGCCGCACTTAGTTTCAGGTCCTTATGGGCAATTCGTAGAGCCTTTACTAGAATCGCCAGAGATATATACATCTCTGGCGAGGTCAAGACTGGAAAGCTGCATCCAGACAGCCAGTTCTTGTCTTAAAGGGGACTCACACATTCTAGAAAGGGTCCAAAGGAAGGCAACACGTATGGTTCTCGGCATGACTAACTTATCATATGAGGAAAGACTAGACAGTTTAAATCACTTGCCCCTGTCATACCGTAGGCAGAGAGTAGATTTAATCACAATGTTTAAGATTTTTAAAAATCAGTGTAGACCCGACGTATTCCCTCTTTTCCTTTCCACCAAGTAGGAACACCTCAGAGGACATAATAGGAGAGTTCAAAAGCCAGGAGCCGACTCCCAGAAGAAGTGGTGTCTACAATCTCAACTGATTCACTCAAGAAGGGTTTGAACAACCACAGAAGTTCACTAGAAAAGGATTAACATAGGCTCCAAGCCTTCTACCCTTAACCAATAAATCTGAAATCTGATAAAACACACTGAACTGGTAGACATAATAACTCAGGTTATGTTGAGTTCACAAACATTTTGCTGAACAAGTCATTAAAAATGTCAATAAACTAATTCAAATAGCATGGTCACACTGAAAATTATGAAGTATTTCTACGGCAATGAAACTGCTCACCAATGGAGTTATCACTGCAATGAAATATAATAAGATCTCAAGTGACTTTCTAGTCGTCAGTATGTTTGTTGAATGAAAGAGAACCCTGAAGGGAGCAAATGAGCAGCAACACGTCACTTTGATGCTTCAGACTTCATCCCTATATTTCATCGCTAACGCATGTCACACAGGTAAGCTAACAAGACTGTTATAAGCACAAGATAACAATCAAGTTTTACTGTATATTGCTAAGTGCTGTGTGAAGTCGCTACTGGGCAATATATAATATGTTACAGATAAATAATTCTTGCATCAAGAACTTGTCAACAATGATAAACTTACTTCTTTGATTATTTCTACTGGTGGATTGTTATTGTAGTTCTCAACTGATTTGAAAGGGGTTCTGTCATGTGAAAAATGGCAACTTTCTCCGTAACGGCATCCAGTTGATGAACTCAGATAAATCAAACAAAATACATACGTAACCTACCCATAAAATTTGCAAGGTGGTTTTTTATTCGGTATGTGAAGAAATTTACAGCTGTCTCCATACCAGCAACCTCCAAGAGTATTAAAATAACGGCAGATTTTCTTCTCAGGATCAGTCATCGTCTGAAACTACTATACCACTCATCGATTGAATTTATCGATCCGTATCCATAATAGACTATTTTAAAAAATTCAAAAATATTAATCGAAGTAAATGTCTGCCTCTCAGCCTGATGCCATTAATGAGAATTTATAAAGTTATGAGGCTGAAATGCAATGGTATGTAAAGTATAAGCATTCCATAATTATGCATTTTCTTGTTTAGCGAAAACTGAGATGGAAACCAAAACGACCTCATATTATGAACTCAGAATTGTCAAGGTTACTGACCAAACAATAAAATGAATTTTCCCGAAGGAATAATACTCGCTGATATTTTATAGCTTTATTAAAGGTTCTTTTCTGCAAAATTGTGAAACTTCTTTTGTTTTAATGACCATGCAGTAAAACATTTGATTATGCTATATGATACCGTTATGCACAGGGTGCTGAATTGGTGCCAGTCATGCTGAGAACCAACAATGAGCTCTAGTTTCTGCGCATAATCGAAAAATTTCAGAACAGTTTCAGAATTTACTTATTTTATAATTTCAGTGAGTTCAGAACTAGCGAGATTTATTTTCAGCATAAATGAAGGCTTGGGTTTACATACATCCATCTCACTCAAAATGACATATGCCATTTAGTCGAAGCATTTAATTTTAGTTCAAACTTCGGCTTGTCATCACTGCATATGACAGCCTTAGATAGCTCAACGCAGTGACAAATTTAAAGTTCCTCATGCTAGTTTCACGTGACATTTAGATTCAGATTATAAGGATAGAAGGCTCTTGTTGACTATGTTAACCCTTGCGATATATATCTATGCAACAATCTAGTTTCTCTTTAAAGACATTTACAAATAAGGCTGTTTCTACTGAATCGGGTAAGGGGTTCCAATCGTCGACCACTCTGTGAGAGAGCCGAAATTCCGCATGTGTTTTGTTCGACCTTGGTTTGACCACCTTCTTGTGGTAACCTCGTAAATGTATCCCAGAGGGAGAGAAGAGGTTTGAAACGTCAATCCTTAAATCGCTCTTTAATATATGGTAAGCCAAAATTGATTCGCCTCTCCTCCTTCGGTATGATGATAGGAAGAGATTTAGATGCTCCATCCCCTTTTCATAAGGAAGGTGTGAGATACCACTGACTAATTTTGTTCCTACCCTCTATACTCTTTCCAGGATATGTGCCTCCTTTTTGAAGCATGGACCCGCCGCTTGTACGCAGTATTCTAGATGAGGCCTGACATATGTTGGGTAGAGTAGTTGGAACATGCCCTCGTCTAATCGTTTGAAAGCCCATCGAAGTCCCCATAGCATTCGAAAAGCCTTAGCTGTGGCCCCATTACAATTTGCCGTTGCTTTTAAGTCATGGCCTACAATAATTCTTAAGTGCTTCTGTCCCTTAATATCTCACAGTTCTGTGTCCTTCAAGGAGCACCACGTGTGAGTCCCCTGATCTGGGTACACATATCCTGGAAAGAGTACAGAGGGTAGGAACAAAATTAGTCAGTGGTATCTCACAACTTCCCTATGAAAACAGGATGGAGCATTTAAATCTCTTCCTATTATCATACCGAAGGAGGAGAGGCGACTTAATTTTGGCTTACCGCATATTAAAGGGCGATTTAGGGATTGACCTTTCAAATCTCTTCTCTCCTTCTAAGATACATTTACGAGGTTACCACAAGAAGGTGGTCAAACCAAGGTCGAACGAGGTCGAATTTAGGTTCTCTCACAGAGTGGTCGACGATTGGAACTCCTTACCCGATTCAGTAGTAACAGCTCCATTTGTGAGTGCTTTCAAAGAGAAACTGGATTGCTGCAGAGACATATATTGCAAGGATTAACATAGGCAACAAGAGCCTTCTATCCTTATAATCTGAATCTGAATTTAGAATATTCAAACACAGCAGTATTATAAATCGGCTACTAGAAAAAGTCAAACGCCATCGTCCAAAACAGGGGAAATATATTGGTACCATTGGAAATTTCTGCTAGACGCCACCGGATGAGCACAATTTTGTGCTTTTAGTGACAATACACTGGTCTATGGAAACTCCTAACACCGACAGTAGAGTTGACGTCAGCTTGTCAGTTTTCAGCTTCCCTTCAAGTTGCCTGTCTCAGGTAAGGATCAGGACTGCAGACACTTTAATCACTTTAGATACAGGAGCCAAAGTCAAACTGATTCCTCCTTCACTATCAAATGACCTGCAAACATAGCCGAGAAACCATTACTCCGTGCCGCTAACTAGACTAATGTGCAAACCTATAATGAACAACCGACGATATCGGATCCTCATCCGTGCCACTAATTCGCATCCATTTTCACAATGGTCAGTAACTGACATGCTATACTTGGTGCTAACTTTTTAATTACTTTTTAATCTGCGTGTTGATTTCAACAGGAAAAATTTGACTGACGCCTGCATCTGACTAAAATGTCAGCTTGGCTTACTCTATTCACAATGTCTGCATTGAAAAACAGGGACTGCATGCTTACCACTGCACCACAATGCTTTTCTGCGACACATAAAGTATGTTATCACACTGAAGATGTTTAGTACATGGTAATCCAAAAGATAGTCACCTTAGGTCGACATGACCTACTCCTCCACAATCAGCAGTGTCATCGTTAATAGTGAACAGTCTTCTAAGTATTAAGGCATCCGATTCTGGGTGCACGCGAATCTTTTACGTCCTATGGGAAAACTATATGTTCTGGGGCCAGTCTGACCTGGGCATATCATCGAGTCACAGCAGCCACAGAATACTTTTAAAAACAGACATAACAGTACTTTTCCGAATGTCTGAATTCCAGTGCCTGCTCTTCGATACAAAGCACGATGCCTAGGCGTTAAAAAACTCTGAAGACCAAGAAATTCAAAGCTTCAAATTCGTTTTCACGTATGTCGATGTACTTCTACGGATAAGTATATTCCCTATTCTAACTTTTTCAGCCCTCAAGTACCGCGATTATACAACTTTTAGCATATCCTCTCAAAAAATCTAAAAATGTTGCGATGGACTTATCAGTGCAAGGATATGAATCATCTGCAGCTTTTATACAGGGTTGGTGGTAGATAAAATAAAGCCTATAAGCCAAATGTTGATGCCAATTCATAGATTCTCATGGTTTACTAAGCAGGGATAAGGTTTAGTTGAATATACGTATTAATTCAATTTACAGATATTGGGATACGTAATGTTGCAAGTCTGTAATTATTAGGGATATCATACCTGATGAGATATAAGCAGCGGTCGGTTGCCAGAGCTGCCTTAAACAACCTTTCCTCCACACTAGGAGGAATACCGAGAAAATTCAATAGATACATTATTACTTGGCAATAGTACATCCGTGTTTGTTCACTCATCATTCAGTGGGTATAGACAGTTATCTAGTCAGATCTTCCCTACTATCAAGAGTGTCTGGATATCTCCGGTTCCAAATTCACACAACCGTGAAACCAAGAAAACCTGCTGGTTTGAATGGAAGATATATTAGGCTCTTAACACATAGGTGTCACACATGATAAACCTTTGAAACGTCTGTTTCTCTGTCCATTAATGCCCGAGGACTAGAATTGAGCTATAGAAAGTTCTACCTTTGAGGGATGCAAGAGATTTTGGGGAAAAATAAGCCTATATATTGACTGTTTTAAGGCTATTGAGAAAACAGCATCTAGTCATTTACTTAATGTTCCTGAATTATCACACCTTATTTCTTCAGTATCAACATATGTTTCCGACTAGGCTTCAGACGGAGTCAGAAGATTTGCTGCAAACTCGCCAGTGGATACAATTTTTAGGATCCGAACAACTTCGGAATGAGTTCAGTAATGTTTACATTGGTAATAATGTCCACCAAATCATCCACTCTGCTCTAGAAGTTGAATTGGACTTAATGTTCCATTTCCTCAATGTTCAGCTGCGAAGAAATGGTGATAACTCGCCGAGGACATATATTTCCGAGGAATCTCAATAAAAAATAGTTTGCTATTCAGATTCATAGACAAGAATCTAAAACCAAAGTAAGCTTGTGAACAGGTCCAGATCACCACCAAAAGGATGATGATGCTTAGTCTCGAATTCAAAAATGATACAGACGAAGAAAATTTCCTATAACGTCTTTCAAAATATCACACTAAAACATATTTCATCTCCAGCCTACAAATGATATTGTCTTGCAAGAAACTATTCTAATAGCACGCCAAAGGCAAGCTTTCACCACGCATATACCAGTAAATTTACTCTTGTGAAGATGAATACATTGACAGTACCATGCGTCCGCTTGTAAAACACCCTTGGGAACACTATTCAGCCTGGCTAGCAAAAAGAGAACGTAGATGTTTGCATAGCTCAGTTGAAGAACACCTGGTGATCCCAGGGCACCTGACTTTGTTTGAAAAGTCCTTCAAAATCCTATACAAGCTCCTACAAAACCTCTTAGGTATAGTTGAGGCTGTGGCTATCTAGTAGTTCAGGCTCAAGTTATGTGCGTACAATCACTGTTTTTAACATAGCCATCATAAAAAGTCATTTATCTCAGTAAGGACTATCCTATGATGCTTCTAATACCGGTCTTATGTTTATTTCAGTCATTTTAAGTTTTTTAATCCTTATTTGCATTATTATGTTTTTTATCCGAAATTCCTGTTTATCCTGTTGTTGTTACATTTTAATCCCTATTTATAATATTGTTAATTTAGCCTTCCACCGGAAATAGTTCTGGAACCTTCTCACATGTACACATTTACTATGTGTATATGAATGTACAAACCAGTTCATGACTTCGGTGCAACCATCTTTTTTGATCTTAACATGTCGTTTTCCGACTAAATAATTTTTAACACCAAATATCAACTGTATTCATGACAGTACCCCGTCCAAATGACATGCTGAAATTTTAAGTTGAATTGTCTGCATGTGTACCCAAATTGTCACAGCCATAATCCTGCTTAACTAACAACGATTTTGAAGTATGCTTCTCTTTTTCTCATCTTGTAATTTACATAAAGTGTATCTAAGTGGTCATTGTACAGACAAGATATAACGAACTTTATTTGCATACGTCAATTCCTAAAGTGTTCCTCACTGTCTGATCTGAAACAGTGAGATATGCTTCATTGTCTTTTCCAGAGAATATTGTAGTTTATTCACATTTTCGAATGTATGTGATTTGAATAAGTTAACTGATCTCAGATATATGCAATCATTGAAAAATTCATACATATACGGTCGTTTATAAGACACCAGAGCTCTTTCGA